AAAACCTGAAGACTGCAGTCGCTCGAAGTTATTTTTAATCTTTGAACTGAGAAAACGGTAGTAAAAACTGTGGAGAAAAATTTATACAGCAAATTTGACATGCCGTTAGTCTCCAAAGTGATCGTCATCCAGAACTTTTTGCTAACGTAATTCCAGCTGCACAATGACATGGTGGTAAAAATCAGGTTCTTGAACGCAATATGACTGCTTGCCGCAAGTCTGCCTCATTTGTGAAGGATTTCCCACCAATGTGATTGTCCGGAGAATGGAAGAGGCGGCAATCTATTGGTCTAAGGTCCGGGGATTAAAGTGGATGGCACAATGTCTCCCAGCCAAGTCGCTGTATGGTATCCCTGATCATCCGCGCCACATGACGCCTGGCGTTATCATGGAGAAACAGTACACTCTTGCGATTAACCAATGCTGCTTCAATGCTTGTTGCATACGTTCCAACTGCTGCAAATACAGGTCCGCAATGATGGTTTGGTCCGTTATTAGCAGCTCATAGTGCACCACTAGTCGACTAGTCTACTAGATACAGAGCATGATTTTGCATGGATGTAGAGGTGGTCATGCGGTGTGAGGTACAAGGTCCCATAGTGACAGCCAATATCTGGTACGCTTGGGAGTGTCATACAGGACCCACTTTTCGTCACTGGTGAGCACTCGATTAAATATGGACACGTTGCACTGCCGAGAAAACAATGAAATCCAGAACCTTTTGCTAACGTAATTCCAGCTGCACAATGACATGGTGGTAAAAATCAGGTTCTTGAACGCAATAAACTGTCACTCGTTGTTTTTTTTGGGGGGGCTTTCGACAGTGTGTGAGGTACCCACTTGCTCGATTAGTACGCGTTCCCTATGCGGTTCAGGTGAAATCTGGCTGTTTTATCAAAAACATGGAAGCGTTTGGCAAGCTCACCACAGGTTTGGCTGTTGTCCTCCTCCTCTGATCGTCTTCGGGGCCTCCTCATCTAGGAACTGTGGCCACCAACCGAACTTATGGAACCAATGCCCGGCAGTGCCTTTATCCACAGCATTATCTCCGATCAATGACTTTACGTATTCGGCGATTTGATGCGGTCTCAGACAAGCCTACTTTAAAGTCATAAAGCAGACAACGAGCGGTTTCGACACCGCCATGTTTCTTCGCCGCTGGTCGAGCTATGACTAATGTGTGTGCGCATCGCGCCTGCACTGATCAAGGGCAATGCCCCACTCCAACACTTTCCCGGCACGTGAGGCATTCATTTGCGTATCAGTGATCACTTCTTGCCACACGACGTAAAAAAACGGCAAGGGTTTTATTTTACTTACCTGTACCTTTTGTGCACAATTGTTATCAACACCTGCCTACATTTGTATTTTATTATCTATTGTGCGAGGCAAGTGTATTTGTAATCTAGGCGTTTCAAATAAGAGATTCTTTTAAGATGACGAAAAATTTCTTAAAACGTTTACTAGCGTATAACACGCCCCCCACTTTTTGCCTTTAATTTTCGTTCAAAATTTCTCGTATTATACACAAGAAATAATTTTTATATTTTCTATAAAAATTTTTTTTGGCAAATATTGTTAATTCGTAAATGCAAAAAAACAAAATTTGTGTTCGTTTTTACAAGACTCTGCTGCGTGAATTTTTAAAGAAAATTTTTGTACTGTCTGGCTGGGTAAGTTTTCTCGTGCGTGATAGAACTAGGAATGGATTATCAGACTAAACTCAGAAAAACTTTCCGTTAACTCGAAATCAAAAATTCTGTTTTGAAGTTATCGGAGATTTTCCAAGATAAAATTCTGCCGTTGATTTAGAATATATATATATATATATATATATATATATATATATATATATACACATATATACATATATATATTCATACATGTTTCATTAAATAATATAGACAAGTGTTGTCTATTTATTTTATGTAAATTCTTTTCATAACGTCTGATAAGCTTAATAACATTATCATTAAACGAAGAAAGAAAATCACAATATTGATCCATATTTTTTAATCCAATCTAAGCTTTTCGGCTTACATAAGCCATTATCAAAGATGTCAATTACAGTACAATATATTAAATAATATATATATATATATATATATATATATATATATATATATATATATATATATATATATATATATATATATTCATTCAGTATTGTGACTGAAGTCTGAGCCAACTGTGTTAACCGCGCGTTAACTTTTCAACAAAACTATACAGTATTTATGCGTAAATTCTGTATTTTATTTTTCTTGAGATTATTTTAAATAAAAATTCTGTGTATCCAGTATTCCAGACAGGAGTTATTGTGTTCAACCGAGTGTTAACGTTAACATGGAGGATTTATGCGTAAATCCGTCCATTCATTATTTCAAATATAAATTCAGTATTAACTGAAATAAGACGAATTCTTTTTCGAAGTTATCGGAGAATTTCAAAGATAACATTTTGCCGTTGACTTTCAAAAAATGTTAATTCAGTCTTGTGACTGAACTGAACCAAATCGGTTAACCGTGCGTTAAATTTTCAAAGCTAAACAGAGTTTATATGTAAATTGTCCCATTTTTCTTGAAAGTTTATTTTAAATGATAATTCTATGTATACAGTATTCCTGACTGGAATTTTACATTTAAATTTTACACAGCAAAAAAAAAAAAAAAAAAAAAAATCTTTTATATTGCTGTGTAAAATTTTTTATATCTTGCACAAAAAATGTTTTATGTTATTGTAGTGTAGCATAATTTTTATAGCTAACCTTCAAGAGAGTGTCTCATTGCACCTTCTCGGACAACTTTTTCCGCTGTCATGAATTGGAAAGATTATATTGAATCAATTGCTAAATCTGCTGCTAGAAAAATTAGTTCACTGTGTTGTGCTAGACAATTTTTCTCGCCAGAATATATTGTAGCGGACCGTGGATTTACGTGTCGTTAAATTAGGAACAAGTGCTTTTTTTCCTGCTAGAAGGTCCAGCACAAGAACATGGCGGACTCAGAGATTGAATCCATCAGAAAGCAGTGTAAAGAAAACGAAGAAGACCGATATATATATCAACAAATATATGTATTAAACAACAAAATTTACAATGGACATAGACATTAACACTTGTGTTTGTGTGTGAACGTAAAGAGTTTATATTTTGGTGAATGTTTGTACGTACGTGTATGTATGTATGCATAATGTTCATGGCGTCTCCCACAAATGGGAAGTTGCAATCTTCTGCGAGAGCTTACATTGTAGATGTGTTCGCTAAAATTGAAGAAATGAAAAAGAGAACGAAGCAAGAAATCGCCCAGTATTTATAGTGTAGGGAGAGCGTCCTCTAGTGAACAATTTGGATAACTAAGGAGCAGTTAACTCAGACACTATCTTACACATTTATAAGTCTACCATTCGTCTATGCATTGAATATCACTGTTACATCAACGGTTTGGTGCTTCTAGAGTTTCTTGATAAAATTTAAAGAAAAATCTTCCTTGTTATTAGTCCTGACCTGGCGTCTCGCAACGTAGTAACGCCACTTAGTAACGTAGTTTTCCTGTGCCTTTTCTTTAAATATTTTCATGGTTATTGTTCTGAAAGTGCCTCGACTTTACGAATATTACTAGATCTCATCATTTTGCAATTGAGATTGCTAGATATAACCGTAAGTTATGACTCCGTTAACCTGAACCCAAACATGAAATTAAGATAAAGAAAAAATGATTACAAAATATTATGGTCCCTTCAACTTAACCACAGTGACCATCTCCTCTACTTAGAAATTATAGCTAATAGTCAAAGGAGAACCTAAATTCGTCTTGTGAATACCCGCTTCGATGAAAGAGACCTACTGTTGCTGTGTTTTTTTTTGGGGGGGGGACTATCGGAACCATATGAGTCAGAATTACTTTTAAACCAACCAAAGGCTCATTTGCACGAATACAGGAGGTAATATGACTTTTTTTTTTCCTGATGATCTTGCTTTTGATTTGATTTTATTTCTCTGTAACAGGCGCGGACAATATTCTTTGAGGTCTGCATGTTTTGTTTGTACTCATTTCCGAAGCAAAATCTGTCGTCAGATTCAACGCCTGATTTGTGGCAGATTTTTTTTCTGACGTCTTTTTCTATACTCCTCGCCACTACTATCGTCCATAAGTTCTTTGCCTACTTAAAAACAAATGATCCGTTTCGTAAAAAGTCATTAAAATTACTCAGCTTCTCCTACAAAAAAAAACCAAAAAAAAAACAAAAACAAAACAAACTTTAAAATAAAATTTAAAATCTCAGAAAAAAAAGTGACATTAATACAAAAGAAATTGGGAAAGGGGTAGGTGTTATTCTTCTCTAACCTTTATTAGTCAAATAACTGAACCAAACATTCTACTGACCTAGCTTAATATCAGGAGGCCATCTTCATAGGCATAATCTGTCGTTCATTACTCGGCGCCTGAGACATTCCCAAAAGAGGGAAGTGCCGAGGGACTTGAACAATTTGTGGACAGTTGACCGAAATCCTACTTTAAACTCCGGCCTTGTGTCACATTCTGTGCGACGTGGGTGTATAGATAAATAAATACCCATCCTCCATTTTTACTTACATTGTAACATTGAATTTATTCTGAATATCACTTCTATATCTCATATATCAAAATTCCACTTTGCTTTTCTATGAAAAATGTCTATCTCATCTTTACAATTGTGTTTGTATAGAGACTAAATAAAATAATTTTATTATTGCAATTAAAAACCACACCGCAAGAAAATGATGAATTTTTGCAGGTTATTCAAAGCCAGAAACTATTTTTGGATTGTAACAATTTTGAAGTTAATAATTGACTGCTACAAGTCCTACTAATTAACCCATAGCTGGGGGGGAGAAGAGGCGGATTCATAGCTTTCATAAGGGTGTTTGCACTCCTAAGTGAATATAACGAACCCAATTGGAATTCTGCTCTCTGATTTCCAATTCCAAGTCGTTATCCATTATACCACCTGCACAGCCAAGGTTACAGCACTTGGTATTCCCTGTCAGTCACCCATCTAGATACCGATCAGGTTCGACGTTGCTTAACTTCGGTGATCGGTCAAGATCCGGTATTTCAACATGATATAGCCGTAAGCGTCTTAGTATAGATCCCTCAAAAATCTACTATGACAGCATAAGTCACCAAGTAGAAAAAAAACCGATGTGTGTGTGAGGGGAATTAAATTAAAAAATAAATAAAAAAACAAATCCAGCCGTTTGTTGACCTTTCGAAGATATTCCCACATAAGGGAGAACTTTATCTTCTATAATCTAGAACAGCGTTTCCCAACCTTTTCTCAACTAGCGCACCCTTTGGACACACACTTTTTGTCGCCCCCCGCCCCTGTCGAATTAAATTTCGAATATTATACTGAATTCATCTTTCATAGCAAGATAATTGGAGATTCACTGTGGTCTTCCACAGTGTGCTTGTCAAACTCTCTGCCTCCGGGCAGAGAGGAACCCAGACAAGGCTATGCCAAAGAGCAGAGTCTCATCTGGGGTGGTAGACATTTGGGGGCCGAGATTTTTCTGCGGAAGAGGTGGGGACTTCAAGCAGCGTCTTTATTTTCATACTACACCACTATCGTATACACAACTTAGAAATAAGTTTTAGTATAAGTATGTTACTTCACTACCCGACCACGTTTTTTAACGGGGTATACGGGGAATTTTTGCCCTAGCCTACGGGCTCGGATAACCCACAATAAACTTGGCCTTGTGCCGTATCCAACCGCGTGGGGCGGTAGGTGAATATCTTCATAGCAAGTTAACACTTAGGTATTAGTGCAAAAGTAATTTTAATATTGTTTTCATTTTTATTATAAATGCTAATGATTAAGATACTAAAAAAACTTTTATTTGATAGCTTATCTCAATGTTTTCAATGCGATGGTTGACTTTGGTGCTTACTGGCTAAGGTTCTTACTCTAGGTTCATTTCATAGCTTATCTCAATGTTTTCAATGCGATGGCTGACTTTGGTGCTTACTGGCTAAGGGTCTTACTCTGGGTTCATTTCATAGCTTATCTCAATGTTTTCAATGCGATGGTTGACTTTGGTGCTTACTGGCTAAAGGTTCTTACTCTAGGTTCATTTCATAGCTTATCTCAATGTTTTCAATGCGATGGCTGACTTTGGTGCTTACTGGCTAAGGTTCTTACTCTAGGTTCATTTCATAGCTTATCTCAATGTTTTCAATGCGATGGTTGACTTTGGTGCTTACTGGCTAAGGTTCTTACTCTAGGTTCATTTCATAGCTTATCTCAATGTTTTCAATGCGATGGCTGACTTTGGTGCTTACTGGCTAAGGTTCTTACTCTAGGTTCATTTCATAGCTTATCTCAATGTTTTCAATGCGATGGCTGACTTTGGTGCTTACTGGCTAAGGGTCTTACTCTGGGTTCATTTCATAGCTTATCTCAATGTTTTCAATGCGATGGTTGACTTTGGTGCTTACTGGCTAAGGGTCTTACTCTAGGTTCATTTCATAGCTTATCTCAATGTTTTCAATGCGATGGTTGACTTTGGTGCTTACTAGCTAAGGCTCTTACTCTAGGTTCATTTCATAGCTTATCTCAATGTTTTCAATGCGATGGTTGACTTTGGTGCTTACTGGCTAAGGTTCTTACTCTAGGTTCATTTCATAGCTTATCTCAATGTTTTCAATGCGATGGTTGACTTTGGTGCTTACTGGCTAAGGTTCTTACTCTAGGTTCATTTCATAGCTTATCTCAATGTTTTCAATGCGATGGTTGACTTTGGTGCTTACTGGCTAAAGTTCTTACTCTCGGTTCCATGCTTCTTGGAAGTAATCGTAAATCCCCGTTTTTTTTTTTTTTTTTTGTTTTTGCAGGCGGTTCATTTGTTTAATAAGAAGCTCTGTAACTGTGTTGAAACGACATTCAGCCATACTGGAAGTTAAAAACAAAAAGCAATGAAGAAAATTTTGATAGCTTTTCACAGCACTTTCTGAATTTTTCTTTTGTAGCCAATAGTGAATAAGTTTTGAAACTCTAAAAAAAAAAAAACGAATACATGCATATCGCCACCTGAGTATGTTCACCGCCCCCAAATGAAATAAAAAACTCCTAGTGCCGCTTTTACAAGGTGGGGACTTCAAGCAGCGTCTTTATTTTCATACTACACCACTATCGTATACACAACTTAGAAATGAGTTTTAGTATATGTTGCTTCACTAAATTAAACAGAATAATGTTTCATTCATAGTAGCGAAGTTCTAATCTATTCTTGCGCTCTTTTCCACTCTCAAGCTGTTGAACCACAAGAGAGGTTAACTTCTAAACAAAATCAAAGGGTTAATACTAAAGTCAATACTAGCATAATAGTGTAATTTGTCTCATCTTATTTTTCCCCCTACAAAACTTAAAAGGTGGGAGTGGCAATTAAAATTTGGGGTGGGGGTACCCCCACTCTGTAGAATCGCCACTGGGGGTGCTATCGCCCACTTTGGGAAACCCTGATCTAGAACAACAGCAGGATTGTGTGTGTTCGTGTGTGTAAAAAGATGGAGACTAAAAAGAAGAGGTCAGTGCCTGATCATTCTTGCGGCACCTTTGGAAAGTGCCTAAAAACCATAACACGGGTTGACCCAAGCCTTGTGAGTGAAATTGGGTAGACTTGTGATTTCGTGCTAGCTGTGTACACGCTCTTTTCCAGAAACTGTAACTAAGTTGCAATATAAACCACAGGTGGGCTCTGTGGGTGCTGAATAAACATAAATGCATTTGAGCAAGCATCTGCAATACTAGCCGCCCTAGTAGACGGGTATCCTCGAATACTAGTGACCAGCTATACATAGATATATAGTTACTAACTCAGTAATTCTCAACGTGAGAAATTTTTAAATTTTTAATTTATTGCAGATAAGGAGAGGATGAAAAAGGAGACTTATACCTGAAGCTGAACCAAAGTTTGGAAGTACAACTTGACAAGTTGATATATTGACACCAGGAGCTGTGTAGTTATTAGTCAGGAATTATATTTTCTACTACATTTTACTACATGTAAATAAAATGTATTTCCTGTTACATGGAATTTCTATTTTATGCTTATGTAGGTCTGGAATTTTTTTTTGACATCAACAATGGGCCACAAAGAAGAAAAGGTTGGGAAACACTGGTTTAAATCACGACGATTGTTGCTATAGACGGTTAAACGCAGAAAGTGTGTCTGTTCTATCTAGTGTGTCTGTTCTATCTAGTGTGTCTGTTCCTATCTAGTGGCAAGACCGCATTGCAACACACGACCTTGGCTTCCAAGTCGAAAAATGTTTCCGCAAAGCATGCAAATCATTTAATCTTTAAGCTAAACACAGCGGGTGTACGATCTTGCAGTGAAAGAAGGCATGTTTTATAGATTCCGTTAAATCACAGCAACGATCACACACTGGTAAATCAACCAGCCTCTCGAGAAAGGCATTTTGCCAATCCAGAAAGTGTTTTGAATCACCAGCCGGGTGAGTGGTGACTCACAGCTATAACAAGGTTCCGGTGGCATACAAGTGCATTGAGTGTGTTGGTTAATTTTAAGCTCCGATAATGTTCGCATAAGTATTAAGAAACAGGAAAATCTCTCTAGAAACACAGAAAAGAGTACTTAACTGTTATGTAATATAGCTCCTCGAACAAGTACAATAATTTAAATATATAGGAAGTATTTTAACAGAGGACGGAAAGTGCGAAACTGACATCCGAAGGTGCATTGGGATATCGAAAGCTACTTTCCAAAAACTAAGCAAAGTATTAAGAAACAGGAAAATCTGTTATATAATAACTGTTATATAATATCGGTCCTCCTATATAGCAATACATACTAGACAATCTCATCACAGATAAAGAAAAGACTTGTGTCAACAGAAATGTGGTTCTATAGAAAGATGTTGAGAATACCATTGACTAGAAATGTGAACAATGACGATGTTTTAGAGAAAATGGAAACAAAATGGACACTTATACTTAACATCAGAAAGATAGCTGCACGTAATGAGGAAAGAGGGTCTGGAAAATTTGACACTGACAAGAGGAACAGACGAAAGCAGCGCATAACCTGCCTAAAGAGCACGTGTAAATGGTTAGCAGCACAGAGATTAGGATAGATAGCAAAAAGACGCATTGTGGCTAGCCATGATCGCCCACACCCTGAAGGGACAAGGTACATAGAAGAAGAATTTTCGCATATCGTTCTCTTTAAGTTTCGGGTATTTGGCCAATATATTTTAAGGGTTACTTTTTACATTTGATATCATCATCATCAGGTTGAGCAAGTTTGGTATTCCATGACACGCTGCCTCCATCCATTCCTGTCGTTCATTGCATTTGGAAGCTCATCCAATCTGCATCCCGAGTCTTCAGTCAGTCAATGTACATCTTTGGTTGACTTTGTGTTCTTTTTCCATGGGATCGTATCCGGAGTAGAACATCTCCAGATAATTTTTCCTTGCTACGCCAACAGTGACCAGGTGTCGTGTTTTGCTTTCAATAGATGAAAATACACTTGCGGTCGCCACTCCATACAAGTGTGAACAGTACTCCGTATTAGAGCAGTTGTGCCTTGCCAAAACATCTAACAGTAGTTAACGTGAATCGCCTCGCCACTGGAACATTCTATATTAGTAGACTCTATTAAAGGTAACTGTTTTACATTGATTCAGTTTTAACTGTTTTTGAAGTGTTTGTGATAAATTTTAGAATGGGATTTACTAAATTTCTCTCAAGTGTTTTTTTACTAATACAAGGCCCAAGAGCTACTCAAGGTAGATGGTTACTAAAGGAAGTTGTTGTGTGAACGGTAAGAGTTAGAAGTAAGAGGTGAAGTTTATGAGGGTATGTGGGAAATAATAACGCTTAACTCTAGACTTGAACAGGTTAAGATTATAGTGATTGAGGAGGCACCCTCTTGGGAGTCGATTCCACAACGTAACGGTTCGTTAGGAAGAAGCTGTTCGAGTGGAACTTACTTCTCATTAATAGAATACTATTGGTATGAGGTGGTTCGCCCCTGTGTACGTGCCATGGCGGGTTCTAGCTGTGAAGGTTAGAACTGGTGAAACTAAGGAATGTAGTTAGAATAGA